ACACACATTCACAGGAGACACAAATGTAATTGGAGATGGTCATTTGAATTGTATCAGCTGTCAAAATTGCTTACTACAGGTTACATCTCCCCCACTGACGCGGTGATGCAGCGTTTCCACAAACAGTTTGGTGGGAAAATAAAGCAGCCCTGGCATTTATCATTACTGTGTGTTTTCTTTAAGTGCACAAACAGGATGTGAGCAAATTAATGAGTTCACATTCAGTGGAAACAAACTGTTTAAAACCACAGGCAGGAATTTGGATGAGCGCTGGTCCCGCATGGGGCAGCTACCTCCAGCAGCAGCTGACAGGCTCCAGGCTGCAACATTAAAGGATTAGCTTTCTGAGCTGCTAATGGACGCTTTCGGGATGATTTCAGACACAATATGAGCTCTTCTGCCTTCCATGTACAGAGGAACAACCTCCAGGCCGAACTCAGACACATAAATGAAAGAGATGTTTGTTTTTTCTCGTTCCAAATGCATTTAAGTGGCTTCAACAAACCAAATAAAGAATCTTGTGCTGACACTGTTTGCCGATATAGTAAAAACTGCAGACTGCTCTTTATGTCACACGACTATTTCACTATCGCCAAAGGAACGATGCAGCTTTTAATTTCTAGTAATTTTTGTAATTTCTGTCAGCAAAAACCTTCTCCACATTTGAACAAATATGACCTAAGAAGGATCAAAGTCACTTGCAGGCAGCTTTGATCTGCAACAGTGAATCCTCTGAACCCCAAAAAAAGTTCCGGGCAGTTTTTTGCTCCGGTCACATTTTTACTCACTGTGGGCTCATTTTTCGCTTCAACATAAAGTCCTGCACCTCTATGGAAACAGAACAGCCATGACTAGAAGTAGAGAGAACTTAAAAATGTCTTGCGTGAGGTATAACAGACTTACAATGGCATAAATCTTTAAAAAGAAAAAAACAAAAGCAGAATTTCTTTGAATATTAATATTTTTAAAATTGAAAAAAAAAAACATCTGGAATCCACGTGTACACCATTTTTCTATGTGCCCACCGGTGTTCCCAATACTGGAGACAAAAATGTTAACTCTATAATATTGTGGATATTTCACTACTTTTTACATTTACTTACTACTTTTACATTTTTACTTACTTACGTTTTAAACGTGCTTCCATACTTGTGTATTCGCTGCTCTGCATGAACACAGCCTGCAGTTCAGCTGAAAAGTCTCTGAATTTTTGCCATGTAACTGTTACTCCCTGCTGAGTCGTTAATGGCTTCATGGTTGCGGAGGGGAGTGGAAATTTTTTTAGTTTTTACAGAATCTGGTTTAAGCAGAAAGTTCAGCTTTGGCAGTTGTTTAACTGATTTTAAAGAAATATCGCAATTTTAAGCTCAGATTTATTTTTTTTCCAGTGAAACAACACAACAGAGATGAGCAGCTCAAAGACCACTGGAAGTTTAAAATCCAACAATTCCTTTTGTTTTTACATTTTTTGTTTTGTGTATCTAGCTCTGATAAATGGTATAATTTTAGTGATTTTTCCTTGTAAAGCTGCCAGCGGTTTGAGGGTTCAGCTATGAAAACTATCTACATGAACACTGATCGCTGTTCACTTTAATCATTTGTTTCAGATTCAGTAAAATCCACATTCGACAAACTTGTAAAGCTGTTGTTTTCCTTCCTCGCTCTCGTGCAATTCCACAATCAGTGCGAACCATGACACACTGGTAGCTGCCTCTGATAAAAGGCCTCCCATACACGCTGATGCTAATGAGAAACAAGCGTACCATCAGCCAGAGAAGGCCGGCTATTCTTCTATTCTGCTCGCTGCAGCTCAGCCAGAAGCTGTAATTTAGCAGAAGCAGAGCTCACATGTGGAGCTGCTGAGATGTGGATGTCATGTGAGCTAAAACTGGGGACGATAAACAGTGCGGTTGCATTTAAGGGCGACAACAGCTGTGATTACTTTGTGCAGACAGAGGTTGTAATTTAGTGTCACTGACTGTTTGTAATGGTTAGCAGACTATTCAGTTCAGTAGCTGCACGGTCAAGTTGTGTTTAACAAATACATTGTATGCACATTACATCTTTTTATTTCAGATTTGGTTCAAAGAATAAGGCTGGTAATATTTATTACTACTGTACATGTCTGTGGCACTCAGCTAAAAGCCCACCAGCTCCGACTGAAGACATAAATCTTTAGAAAGGGGTCCAAAAATGTGGTTTTGTTTTTTGTCTCTCATCATTAGACAGCAAATTTTTTTGACCCATAAAAAAAGAAAGAAAAAAAAACTGTCATCAAGAATGCCAGAAGAAATGTGCTAATTAATTGAATTTCCCTTCTGGGATAAATAAAGTATTTTTCATTTCATTTCATTTCTAATAATGGTGAAATACTGTAACATTCAAAAACTGTAGTAACAGCAAAAATAGTAATATTTTTATTTGGTTTAAATACAGACACACAGTGTAATTTTCTGATCACATTACCATTTTGTGAAAAATAAAGATTTAGACATTTCTGTGTTTGGTTTTGTTTTATTTTACATTTAACAAATAAATAAATATTCTTTCTATGATTTACAGTCTGTAAAGTAAACAGACAGGTTAAAATCTATTGTACAACTGTTTTTAAAATAATTTATGGTTTTCAATATATATATAGTTTTCAAATAATAAATATCTGTAAAATAATGTGGGTTTGTTTTTGTTTTTTTTAGCTGATTTCAATACTATTATGCTATTATCATATATAGTATGATTACAGACTGTAAAAGAACAAATTACTATCAGTAAACACAGATTTTTGATGTGGACTTCAATTACAGTTTTTGCCTGTTCTTGTGCCTGTTATTGTGTAAGTGACTGGGTTTTTTTTCTCCTGTAATTGTAATTGTATTGGTTTTTATTTGTAATTTAACCAAACAGGGAAAATTGAAAAAAGTACAGTTAAAAATGTGTATTTTTTACGGTGTGAGTGAGTATTTACTGCAGCAGGAGGGTTTATGTAGGACACAATACAACATGTGCGCTCACACTAATGAAGGAACAGGTCACTAATTGTCCATTGATGTGTTTTTGGACAACAGCTGAGCTCTGCAGCACAAAGGACTGAATTATACCAGACTGTAGATACACAGACAACACTAGTCAACTACAAGGTAATATTCATTTCATCTTCATTATAATAAAGCTGTATTGCTTTTTCCCACCTTGTCTTCTGTGCAAGCAGATGATTCTAACTGCTGTGTTTTGATGTTGTGGGTCATAAATTACATTTTTCTAAAAGGCCTTCTGAGATCGTACGTTAAATTACAAAGTGATTTTTCTTCATCTTTTCTTTTATACTAGAAGTGATGTCTAAACGTGATGAATCTGCCTTATAACAAATGCATTTTTTGTCTGTTTAAAGCTGATTTAACAGAATTTGTTGCTGCTTGGGGGTCTGCAAACACAGACAGAGTGTAATCTTATAAAGCTGATACGCCAAAAATGCGATCAAGACTCGATTATGTAGACATTTTGAAGAAACAACAACATTACCAGTCTTGTGGGGTCATGTTTTTGGCCACTGGAATCAATCTAAGTGCAGTATTTAATCTTCTTTCAGCTCTGGTTTTAGTTTCCACCATCAGCAGAATATCTATGTAGCAGTTAAATGCTCCACTATGTCGACCAGCTAGTTCAGTTTAGTACTCGACAGGTAACATTTGATGGCTTATCAGAGCTTTTTCAATTAAAAAAAAACAAAACTGTCGTCTGCTGCAGCTGGAGATGGACCTGAGAGTAAAGCAACCAAAAGTTGTAAAGCCAAAATATTAAACTGAGAGTCACTAAAATGCTCAGATTGGCTGAGAGCAAGTGCAGAGTCAAGTGATAATTCTCTGTGGGACTCCTGCCATGTTTTCACATCATTTAATTCTCTATTAACCCTCTACAACCCCAAACACACCAGTGGGTTTAAAAGGAACATTATCTTCATGAATACTGCCAAACTTACACAACAAACAACACAACTTATCAGAGCCAGAAACTGTAAAATTAAAACGAATCATCAGATGTTTAACCTCCCAAATCTTCAAAGCTGAAATCTGTGAAATTTCATTAAAAGCACATTATTCTACATGTCTCATTCAAACATTTGCCAAAAATAAACCAGATGCAAAAGCCAGCTTCTGTAAAAAATAAAAATAAAAATTCTGCATTCCTTGGCGCCCTCATAAAGCCATGAGTGACTCAACTGTGATCAGCAGTCGCCTGGGAAAAATTCAGGGATTTCCGAGAAACAAATGATCAAAGAATTCAGCCTTTTTTTTTTCTTTTTCATGATTTATGCCATTCAAATATTGTTCAACTGCACAAACACATTTCTGAGCTCTCCCTATTTTTAGCCATGGCTGTGCTGTTTCCATAGAGGTGCAGGACTTTATATTGCAGTAAAAAATGAGCCCAAAGTGAGTAAAAAAATGTGACAGCGCAGAGGGTTAATACAAAAAATAAGAACACAGCGTTAAAAATGAATGGGAAAAAAAAGACTGTGCAAGAGAAAGAATGCAGAAAACCAAGTATGAAATCCACAGATAAGAGTGAAAAAACAAAACAAAAACTGGCCCAGTTCAATGAAGTCTAATGAAAGAGTCTCTGGCTCCAACATAATCATTCATTATGTCTTGTATAAATAAACACGCACTTATCCAAACTACTGAAAACTGGCAAGAAAAAAAAACGGAACTGGAGAATTTGGTAAATTCATTGGAAGATGGAGTTAAAGAAAAACCCTTCCCATGTGCAAAATGTGGTCCAACTGGTGGAATTCCCTTAAAAGAAGACGCTAAACAGTCCTCACTACACATATTTTTGTATCATAAAGAACACTGAATGGCGTGAGCATGTAATCGACTGCAGCTGTGTCTACTGAGTCATTTACACAAATAAATGGTCTCAGGCTCTTCCGGTGATGAGAAGAAATAACTGAGAGAAAGAAAACTTTTTTCCATGGGGGCAAGGAGACGGAAGTGACTTACTGTCTTTAGGGGCAACGGGGCTGGATGTTCCACCCGCCGAGGTCCTTCCCACCGGGCTGGAATGTTTGGGCCCGCGGCCAGGGATTTTCAGTCCACTGGACTTGAGCATGTTCATTCTACAGTAGCAGGGAGACGCCGGGACCTGAGAGCTCCTCCCTGGAAGATGAAGGCTTGTGGATCAGGCACTAGACGAGGGAGTGGCGGCCGTCGCTTTCCATGTTTAGCTGCAGGGAGGAGACAGGAGGGATAAGGCAGGAAGGACTAACAAACAAAACGAGGGGTAATCAGAGGTGTTGCAAATGTACCTCCAACTCTGAACCAGACTGTTGAAGTAGAACAACTCACAACCACAAGAACAACAGCACTTTATTCTACTTAAACACTCTCAGCTTTGTTCTTACTGTCAGAGAGCTGTTGTTAGTGTTTTAAAGGTCCCATATTGAGCCACTCTGCAGCAAATTACGGAAAGTCTCACATGTCCCCGGAATGTGTTTTTAAATTTTTCAGCTCTAAATACTTTAAAGATAGTTAATTTCACTTTGACTGTATAACTCCTGGTTCTAGCCCCGCTATAAATCGGCTGTTTTAGTGTCTGTACCTTTAAATGAGCTGCTGCTGGCCACACCCCCTTCAGGAAGTAGATCCTCTCTGATTGACAGCGCAGAGCAAAACAGTTGATGTATTTAACTTTCTCTCTGAAGGACATATTACTCAATTTACAGCCCAGATATTGTTTTTCACTCATGTTTGATGAGTTTGTTGGACAACATCACAATGATAAAATCAGAGTTTCAGTGATGGAGAGCAGCATCTTGGAAATGGCTCTGAAGCAACTGCTGGTTAACATGTGGCCTTAAAGGGCTGTGTTTCAGTCACTATTACATGCTTGGTCTGTTGTCTGATGGCAGAAACAGAAAAACATGCAAATAAGAAGAGCTTTATAGGGAATTTGGTTGTAATAAAACACAACATAAGTGAGCACAGAGAGCAGGAGAGAAGCAACAGTTTAGATTTGACTGAAGCACAACAGGCGACCCACACAGTCCTTGATTACTCGTTTCAGAGAAAAGTTTCCACCATCTCTGAATGTCCCTCAGCGTTACAGTTTCCACCGAGTTCTGACCTGTGGACATACAATTAAAACTTATGATAACGTTAGCCACATTAGCCACACAGCATGCTAACACCAAGGGTTTTCATGTTGTTGTGGGGACATGGCCATTAAAAATAATCCACTAGATCTTCAGTTCCTCAGATGCTGGAAGTGCACGAAGACTCTTGTGTTCACTCTTGCAGCCAACAGCAGAACATTTGGTGTTTTTTTGCTTCATTAATGTAGAGGGTCAAAAACAGGGAATTATAACAGGGAGCATGGGATTGGTAGCGGATTGTACAGAGTGCAGCATAACAATGCAGGAGTGTTTATCCAAAGGTTTTCAAACATTTGTGCAACTTACAGCCTTATCATGACTTGAACGTTGCTTCATTTCAAACTGTGTGCTAACTTTAGACCTGTGCAACCATTCATAGAGTATTTTATTAGCCAGAAGATAAATCTGAGGTGTTGCAAGAGATATCTGTCTTCGTTTTTTTGTGAAATACATGACAATTCTGACTCCACAAACCACTGAAAATCAAACAGTGCGAGAAGAAAAGATCACATTTTGGTTGAAAAATCCTGAACAGCTGATGCCCACAGAGGGCCACAAGTAGAATAAAAACATGGAGAACCACTGGCTGAGACGAAACCTCGCTCCTCTGATGTGATTTTATGCAGCTTCCATTCATACGACTGATCATCCTACCGGGATTTATTGACATTTAAGAATCCGAAGGATTCCACCATAACATCTCCATTGAGGACCAATAATAGAGAGAGGCTTTACTGGTAAGTAAAGCATAAAACATATTATGCACAATCATTGCAAAAAAAAAAAAAAAACTTTAAGTAATTTTACAGAATTTACCTATTTACTGAATTTTTCCGTATTAACACCCCAAAATCTTAACAAAACCGCATAAACACACTGTAAACAAATGTAAAATCATTTCCTTATGTTGTTTTTAAAGAAAATTGGAATTTCACAAATACTTCCTGTTTATTTAACAGATAAAACTGTTAAATTTCAGCATGAATATGGTTTTGAAATTAGATGCAATTAGTGACAATTGACAGAAAAGTAGTGTTGATTCTGTAATTTTACTTAAATCTTGTACAACTAGAAGTTTTCACTACAAAAATGTTGACTGAATGTGTTTTCATAAGCGTTGGTAATCCGTCGAAACAAGTTTTTATTCTTATATACATATCATTTATTACTATTATCGCTCTTTCTCTCTACATATTATAGGTAAGTTCACTGCCTCACACAATGTAAATGTAAAGATTTCATTATAAAGTCAAAAAATACACATGATCACATTTAAAATCAAGGCTAGAGCATGTATTTAAAATTACAGTATATTTACAAACTAATTATTTTCTAGTTTTTTACAAAATTTTGATGCACTTTTATTTTATTTTTTTACAGTTTCTTCACATTGCACTCTACATTTGCATATTTTTTTAAAATCACGATAACTTCTAATGAAATTATGTTCAACTAACAAACTAAACTGTGTTATGGGAACCACTGTTTCCTCCATCATTAAAGCTATTTTTATTTACCGGTCTTGGCCGACAAAAAATGTGCAGGCGTGATTAGTAGTCTGGGGAGGAGATTTAAAGCTCTGAACTGAAGATGAAGAAAAATTGACTTATCAAGCTACTTTCATTAAGCTGCCTCAACTAGTTCAAATTACACTAAATATTTTTGAGTTAATGCAACATTATTTAGTCATCGCAACCCCAAAATAATGATGGCAACTAAAAACGTTTACCTAAATCACTAAATTAGCATATTTATCTTGCAGTCATGGGAATAGACTCCTTGGATTACTTATCTGGCTATGAATATGTCCACCAGAGGACACAGAAATGCTGCCGTACTACTACTAATGCTGCCTTAGTGCTGCTGAGCAAACCGTGGAGCATCTCATTGACTATGAACCAAACATGGCTGCACAGAGAAACTCCCACAGATCATAGCTGACATCATGTCTGTGTTCAGTCTATTTCTGACAGTTGTTGGACAAGTTTAGCCATCCAGCTGCACAATTTAAAGTGTTTTCATCGTCACATGTGTCACAGTAGATTAATTTATTATTAATAATTGCGCTTTAGTGCTTTATATATCCTTTCTTGGTCAACTTATCAATTTGAGCAGAGTAATAATATGACTGAAAGCCAATGTAGGCCGGTGCCCAAGTGGAGCATGGCCTACAATTCATGGCCCAGAGCCCATTAAGAAGATATAATGCTGTTAGAGCTACAATAAACAACGCACATCTGGCTGAGGATTTGAAACTAGACATTAGGAATTAGAAGAGAAGGCAGCCAGATTCAAAGCTCAGCTCATTTTCCATCTGATTTACACTCATCCAGGTGATGGAAAAAAAGGAGATTTTTCATTTTTAGAGCAATCAATCACACCATCATACCCCAAACCTGTGGTGAATGATGGTAAATGAAGTAAAAATAACAATAAGGCCCCTGAGTGAGTGGTGTCTGGTGGCTTTTCTGCATCAAGGCCTGGCTTCGTTTTTTTCCCCCCAGTCGACACCTGATTTCAGTGAAAACAGGCTGGAAGGATGATAATGCGCACCTCAACAAAAATGTAACACAACGCCAGTTTGATCCATTGTTGTAGCGACTGCGGCAACGTGGTCTAGACTGCCCTTCACTTCCACCCTCTGCGGGCTCAACCTCCAAGTGAAAATGGCACAAAATGAAAAGCGCACAAAACGCACGAAAAAACCTCACCTTGCTGTGTGAAAATTCAGCGTCCGAGGGGCGTCGGGCAACTTTCAGTGTCCTGCCAGGGGTAGAAACTGGGGGGGATTTAGCCGCTGCCACTCCCTGGGATGCAAATATGGATGCTGAGCAGAAACTGAAAGGGAGAGTCAGCGTGGATCAGCGGATGATGGCAACAACTGCACACAGTCAGCGGCGCGCCGGTGATGGTTTTAGCATGTAGCCTGCCGGTTCATTTCCCAGCAGCAGGAGGATGATGATGAAGGCTGAAGCGGCCACAAGAGCGAAGATAATCGGCGTCTATCGCTGCTTCACAAGACGAACTCTGGCTCACAGCTCCGAAGCGTCTCCGAGAACGAAAGTCAGCATCAGCAAAAAGCAACTTTACTGCCGGCTAAACGTGAATTTCCAGATATTTTCCGGGGCCTCTCCTCTGGTCTTGTCGGTGTTCCCACAGTAGTGTGGATTTGTTGCCTCCCTCTGACTCAACCCACCGGCTACACTGAACAAAGGGGCTGGGAAGCAGAGCCTCCTGGGGGAAAGACAGGGCAGACTGCTCATCTCTGCAACGATCTCCGTTTGAAAATATGCCAATCTAACCTCAACCGTGCTTATCCGTCAAAATGAATGACTCACAAAGACTGACTCAGTGCTGTTTCCAATCACTTGGCCTACTCTAATATTCGGCATACATAAAACCCACAAAGCACCACTCTCTGTGCTAATATTCCACATTTATGAAGCTTCTTCTTGTGTTCTTTTGCCACCTTTAACGGTGCACGTATACAACAGGGAGTCACGCGTAAAAGTTAATTTTCGCACAAATAAAGTGTTGTTTGAACCATTATACATATGCCGAATTAAAAGTGGGATTCTTTTGCTTCAAAATAATATCTAATTCTTACAAGGCGCTTTAAACTTTAACAAAAAAGTAGGAAAATATTAAATAGAGTAAATTCTAAATGAAGTTTGGTGCCTTTGAGGCCGAGCACCGGTCAGCTGTAGGTGCAGAAAGCACACCGACAGATGTGAGATGTCTGATACGTGTAGTAGGTATGAAGGGACACTAAGGCCTGCCGTGGGCAACACGTGAACCCTGTGACACGCGTGGGCACTACATTCTCATAATTTTCTGATGGAGTGGGCAGGGCCAAACCGGTTCATACGGTACACGTCTGTTCTTCAGGCCGGATTCAAAGCGTTCTGATTGGTCAGTGGAGCCAACAGTGGACTTTAAAGCCGCTGTGATTGGTCAGATGGTCTGCAGCTGGGCGTGTCCAGTTTGACAGCTGTGCCGCGAAACAGAGACCTCTGCTGCTGAACACACTGATCCAGTCCACATCTGCCAGAGATCTTGTCTCATTTCAACGTGACAGGTGGCATTTGATTCAAACTAACAGCTCTTACTCTGATTTTCATTCATTTTATTTCATTTTATTTATTTATTCATCCATGTTTTTATTTATTTTTTTACATAGCCATTGTATTGTCCATCACAACAAGAAAACATGGCAGAATAGGAGTACGAGGAAGACAAGTCTTATAAAACGTGCCCCTATAACAAAGAAGACATAAATGAAACATAGATGCCTTCAGTCAGATTTTTAATCACAGTTTGTTTTGCAGACATTTCCCTCCTTTCAAAGGTCTCAGAAAAACACCTGAATAGTTCTTTTACTGGATTAGATAAGGACATGTGTGAGTTTAATGATGTCACCAAACAGACAAACTTATTTTTTAAAACAGCTGTCAGCTTCTCTTCAAAAAGAGACATTTATATGTCAAACAACGTCTTCCAGTGAATATCAAGTTTTTGTGCCGTGTTAACATGACTATATGGTGCTTTATGTGTGTATATATATATACACACTTACACACAATTGAAACCAGAAGTTTACATACACTGTATAAAAAGACATAAAACCTTTTTTTTTTTCACCGTATGACATTAAATCAGACTAAACTTTTCCTGTTTTAAGTCAGTTAGGATTACCAAAATTATTTCTATTTGCCAGAATAATGAGAGAGAGCATTTTTTAGAGATTTTTTTTTATTACTTACTTAGCATTATTTTCATATACAATTGAAACCAGAAGTGTACACACACTAAGGTTACTATGCCTTCAAACTATTTGATGAGGATGCCATGGAAGCTTTTGATAGGTTAATTGACAATGTTTGAGTTAAAATTCTCTCTTTCATTACTGATGTTTAGCAAATAGAAATAATTTTGGTAATCCTAATTGACCTAAAACAGGAAAAGTTTAGTCACATTTAATGTCAGACAGTGAGAAAAAAGGTAATATATCTTTCTATACAGTGTATGTAAATGTCTGGTTTCAACTGTATAGATGTACACTGTTGCTCATAAAGTTGGATTTTTTTTTTTACCTCTTCTCATGAAATGAGTGTGACAATGCGATTTATTCTTGATAAAGTGTATGACTTCTCAAAATTTTATTGATATCACAATATACATACAATACACATAACAGTAAAATTTAGAAACATTTAACTTTTACAAACTGTGGATTCAGGCTTAAACAAAATTGGGGGTATTGAACAATAGGATTAGGGGTTTTATTTCAATTATTCAACCATGGTCATGTAATAGGAAACACATTTCATTGGGATTTCATGCAGTAGAATGTACAATGTCAGGGTGACCAAATGTCCTGTTTTCAAGTCCTGTCCTGGCCGTCCTGGTTGCTTCTTATATAGTGATGAAAATGTCCTGGTTTAAATGTATTGAAAT